GTGTAAAGGGACTTAGAAAGTTTGTTTACAAATGCTTTTGTGCCGTTATCAAATTTTATGCCTGAATTATTTACATTCACTTCGTGCATCATTTACATGCATTTGCCTCTAATTTTTTTCTGTCAACAGAATTCTGTTAAATGATGTATGAGATTTTGTAGGTTTTGATGTTAGCTAAAACTTTTGTCAACAACTTAAATATGTACCTCTTATGTATGACGGGCAGAACTTATTCCCGAAAGCAGAAGTCACTGTCAGCAAATATAGCCTCAACACGAGGTGCTGCACCTTTACCTTCGCCATCTGACTCGTGCCCCAGCTTGGAGGTGCAATTAAATAACAACAACGATAACTCAGGGTGGCGTCTACTTGGTACCAGGAAGGTATAGAAGGCAAACTGGACCAAGTAAGATGCCCGAAAAACACGCCGTATAATAGTTTTATGAATGATAGGTTACCATCAACTTCTTCACCTAATCTTCAGACGATAACAGAAATTTTGGTATGTTGTCAAAATGTTAACCGCATGCGAAGCGCCGGTAAAATGAATTCAATAATAAAAAAAATATATAGTTCTACTTACTCTATCGTAATGACTAAAGAAACAAGTTGGGATGATAGTATGAGAAATGAAGAAGTCTTTGGTAACAATTATAACGTTTATAGAGGCAACCACAATTTTCAATGGTATGGAAAAATATCGGGAGTTGCAGTATTACAATTTTACAATTTACAATTTAAAAATTTAACAATTTTAAAATTTTACAATTTATAATTTTACAATTTTAAAATTTTACAATTTATTTATTTCATCAACCATTGTTGACAAAATTGCAAAGTTAGGACTTAATCAAATCAACCATGCGAAAAATCAACAAATTTTTTATTTAGATCTTTTATTAAGGTTCTACAAAGGTCAAGTAATTCTGTGCTCTTCTTCTTTTTTAAATAGCATTCAATCATCATCATTAGTGTACACATACATTCATACATTATGCATACGAAAATTTAAAACATGATTTTAGATTGAAAATTTCCTGGGTAAAACAAATTTACTCTATTTACTTACTTGTATTCTTCGAAGTATAGAACAATTTAACGCAATCGAATACACGAAAGTCAAAACGACTGCTTCCCAAAACTCTTGGTGAACAAAATTTATCACAAAGAAAACCATTTCAACTTTATTGCTTTGCTAGCAATCGTGAAAGCATCATTGAAACAGCGGTGCCAGATGTATTGCCTCTAACAATGAATTTACGTTTATTAAAACAAAAAATTGCGAAGTTTGACTCATTAACATAGATGAGTGGATGTATTTAATGGTAGATAAATATCAAAAACAGAATAAATTAAACAAAAACTACCATTTTAGACATTTTACCGGTTCAATTAGAAAAGTCACAGAAGATTGAATTAAACACTAACAGGAAAGATAACAGCAGTGCACGTAACCTGTGATTCGCATTCCCTCTCATGGCTATAACCTTCAACTCGGATCAACATTTCATACCGGTCCTGATTGAAGGATGTGCCAAATGTTTGTTAAGGATCGTATTGATTAACATCGACATCGACACTATAGCAGCATGACATTCGTGATCAGGATCAAATCCGAGGATAATACCGGTTGGAGCTTACCATCATCAGCACAGAAAAAAATTCTGAATATTAACTATCGCGTTTATAGTTGACCTATACTTGGCATAAACAGCGAAAGCGATTACAAGCTTCCAAACAATATTGCATATTTATGCGATATTGCGCTTAAATTTACACGAAATATCGCGTAAATTTATGCCAAATCTAGCGTTAATTTTATGTGCGCTATATCTCACAGAAATTTACATGAATTTTTCGAACGGTGAGGGGTGTAAACACAATTTCCTGTTTTAGTGAAATGAAGGAAGAAAAGAGATGGTTAAACTTTCCTCACCATACCAGTTGATATTTATAAAACATGGACAGTGTTGGCGCGTTGACATGCACTTCCAATGAATTTTACCCATACATTTAGAAAATAATGATCGAAGAATATTTCAAAAAGAAGAAGTAGACAAATTATTTACCCTTTGTAGAACCGTAACACATACTTATGAAGATTTCTGTGTGACTGAATCTTTAAGTCCCAAATGGAGAAATGAAATGTTTCACACAACAATAGAATATTCTTTATTATTTCACATAAATGAAAAAACCAACGACTGCGAATTTGATGAAATCTTTGATTACAATTCAGCAAATTATGATAACTTTCTCTAGAAATAGATTGAACATTGACGATTGTCAAGCAATATTAAGAACTGCAGGAAATGTTGAATTTGCAGTTGACGTATTCTACAATGTGTTGTTTGAAATAATACTTGAAGTAGTGCCAACTAAAAGAAAAAAAAAGACGTCAGAGTCATGCAAAACTTCCATTTTAATACAACAGGGAACTAAAAAATTTAAAAAATCGAAGGCAAAAAATTTATAAAAAATATAATAGTGAAGAAACTTTGGCATAATATTTAGACATTTGCTATCAGTTTAATTTGGCCGCGAATGTGGCATTTGAGGAGTATAATTTAAAAACTGAACTTGAAATAAAATCTTGTCCTAGGAACTTCTTCAATTATGTGAAATCCAAATTAAAATAAGATAATTTTCCATCAAATATGCATTTGGACGATAGGGTAGGTGAGAACTCAGATTATATATCCAATTTGTTTACAAATTCCTTCCAAGAAATCTATACTACGCTTTCAGAAGAGGACCGTGACCGTGAATATTTTGAATCTTATCCAGAATTTTCAAGTGATATCAGCGAAAGTCAAATCAAGGTTCATGATATATTACATAGATTAAACAATTTAGATGCATCTAAAGGTCCTGGTCTGGTGTTCCGTCAGTTTTTATGAAAACTTTAGCAACTGAACTTACTGCTCCATGATTTTGGATTTTCAATATGTCGCTGGAATCCGGAAACTTCCCTATAATATGGAAAAACTCGTTGTTAGAGCCTATCTTTAAATTGGGCAAAAAATCAGACATACGTAATTATCGTGGTATAGCTATTATCTCTAGCATTCGGAAACTTTTCGAGGCGATCGTAAATGAAAAACTCTTTCTTCAAATTAAAAACAGAATAACTACTATGCAACATGGCTATCGTTCAACAACTATGAATTTGCTCGAATTAATTAGTTATTCCTTGAATGCAATGGAAAACGGAAACCATGTAGAAGTATTTTATACAGATTTCAGCAAAGCGTTTGATCGAATTGACATACCCATGCTTCTTCTTAAACTTAAAAAATGGGAATTCATTACGCACTCATCATGTGGCTTGAATCATATTTAACTAACCGCCATCAAATAGTAAAATACAAAGGAAAGACATCAAATCTTTGGATAGCAAAGGTTCCATCCTCAGAAGAATGGTTTGTGTATCTGCTCATTTTTCTATGCGTTGCTTCCACCTTCGCTCGAGCGCAGCGCTACTGTGTCTGTCGCTCGGATTCAGGCAAAGTTGCCAGTCTTCTTGATATGTTGTTTTCGGTTTAGGTCTAATTTTGGGCCTACTAAGCACAACGCGCCATTTGCAGAGGCAGTTTTTTGAGTGGATTTTTTCACAAAATAATTTTTTTTTCTGCATATGAATTCTGAATTTATTTACCTTTCCATAATATTTGATAAACAGAAACAAATTGTTGAGATATATTTAAAATCTACCATCCCAAACTCGACCTACGGATTCTAAATTAGGCAGAATGCATTGAAACTCCCTTGAAATGCCATTGAATTAACTTTTGAAGATAAAAATTGATTCGGTCGGACCACTTCTTTTGTTTTTGGGTTTTTTTCTCTGGGTGTAAATAATCATATCACGCGTTCTCGTTGACTTCGTTCAGTAGTTTTTAAACTAAAGTATCGTACCAAACGCATAATTGACTTTTTAACTCTGAAATAATGGATTTATTTGATGTTTTCTGCTTGATAGGCCCAAAATGGGTGATTAGGCTGAGGTAGTGCTCTACCCTACATCTATATTTTTCATACCTCAGCTTAATCGATAATATGATTTTTTTGGGTTTGACTTTTTTTTTCTGTACTAATATGCGTCGATTGCCATCCACTGGCGACAATCGAATGTGCAGGGAGGCAGCTTCCATACCTACGTAAGATATCGCACCAATCAATCAAACACATATGGGCCAACGGCTTTACTTCACTTCCAAAGGAAGCCGTGACCAGAGATTTGTATGCCTCAGAAACATCCCACTGACCTCGGTTGGGATTGAACCCCAATCCGTTGGGATGAGTGCAGTCACGCTTACCACTACACCACCGGCGCCGGCGAAGCATCTCTCGATTTCATTTTCGAAGGGTCGGAACTGCTTTTGTAAACAATACATTTGATCGTCGATATGACGTAACTGGTAGCTCACCCTCGCATGCCAAATTTCACCTTCCCGACAGTAGTATAGTACACTGGAGTCGCTTTTTACGCGGGGGATACGTGCCGCGCAAAAACAAACCGCGTAAAAAAACTTCCGAGATTTTGATTTTTCACATGCTTAAATATTTTTTATATATCGGATTTTGATGCCATTCGTTATTATAGCATATAATAACATAGACATATTTTAAAAATTTCTGTGTTTATACCAAAAAATGTGATTTTTTTAAAAGTATGCCATTCGATTACCTATAGTTTGAAACGGATAATGTGATTGGAATCAACTCGAAAGGTCGTATCGTTGTCGAGAAATCGTTAAAAGCGTACCGCGTAAATTGCGACTCAGCGGCACTAACCGCGTAAAAAAAACCGTGTAAAAAAACCGCGTAAAAAGCGACTCTAGTGTATACGTACGCGAGTGACCAGTCACGCCAAACCGACGATCAAATGCATTGTTTATAAAAGCAGATACGTCCTTTCGAAAAAGTAATCGAGATATATAATTTTTTATCGATGCAAGGCGTGTGAATGAAAATAAATTTGCTCTTATGTTTCAGGTTTGGGATAATTTAATATCAAGTTTAGTTGTTACACTTATGCAAGGCATTCTACACTACACATACATTTGAGTTCCTTTTATTGCATCTGTAGAAACGGTCAGTTGAATTTTAGTCCACTAAAATCGTTGCCTTCACCAAGTGACTCGTGTCCGTCGATTTCAAAGGTAGGGTGATCGTGCTTATAATGGTGGTGAAAATGTTCATGCTCGACTTCTTCCTTAATCACAACCGGTTTATGTACTTCTTTCTTTATTATTTTTTCCTCTTTAATAACAGTTGGCTTATGATGATGATGAACAGTCTTAACCTGTGTATGTATATGTTTTTGTTGCTTTACCTTAACTGGCACGTGAATGATAATTTTCCGTCGCTTTCTGGAAGGATATGTAAAAACATTATGTTTAGACATTCTAAATTAAAGGTACTTTGTAGCACTTTTGGACTGTTTATTAATCTATATATATAAAAATGAATTTCAATGTCTGTCTGTCTGTCGTGGAAAAATTGTATGCAAGGTTTTTGGGGCTAGAAAAGGTTCTTATGATGGTTCGAGACCCATCCCCCCTCTGTAAGGAGGGGGGGGGCTCCCATACAAAAGACACAGAAATTTCTGCATATTTCGAGAACTCATCAAGCAAATGGATCCAAATTGAACATATGGAGGTCATAGGAGGTAGCCGGTAGCCCCTCAAATAAGAAGGGGGGGGGGGCTACTACTCATGCTTTTTTGAATTGGCGTATAAACTCATGCTTATATTGAGTGCCGAGTAAGGCCGGGCACACTCAGTTAGTATTATATTAAAAAACCTACAAGGGACAGCGCTATGGGGTTGTACGCAATGATGACGTACATAGGACTACGTGGTCTTATATAATAAATCTTATTTTTTAACTGCAGCAGGAGCTTGTGTTTTGTGTAGGAATAGGAATTTGAACGGGGTTCTCTTAATTTATACTCTTTAGTATGGCGCGCTTGGCATAGATGACCCACAGCGACTCACGAAGAGCTACTGATTCCGATCAATAGCGGTGCTGCTTCTTCCTCCTTCAATGGATGCTCATGTGAGCTGCAGCTCGTTGCTTGCAGGCAGCCTTTCGTTGTGTACTGGAGATCACCATCACCCACCACGCGGTGATTGAATAAACACCGTTTGGTGAGACCGGATGGAATTCAACTTTGAAATCTGTGATAGGGAAATCGCTTTTCGCAGGCAATCGGTGATAATTTTAATTATTTTAGCAACAGTTGCACATTCGTGCAATTTTCAATAGTGACATTTTGAAAAACAGATGCGTAGGGATATTTCTCGTCGATTGGTTGAAGTTGGTTCTGGGGCAGCTGAGTTATTAACGTTCAAAAACTTTCATAATTTTTTTACATGTTCCATTTTCGGTTTCAACAAGTGTACCCCCATATAGAAATCACAGACGTAGTCTTACGTCAATAATATTTGAAACAATATTTGATGAAATAGGGTAAATGATGGCTTCGGCAGCCATCGACTGTTTTCGGCAACCACAATTTAAACGTTAATTTCGATGTATTTTCTCACTAAAACACTTCGCTGAATGTATTTAAACGATTCCTTAGTCTTTCAGCTTCAATCCTAATCAAGGAATCAAAAATATCTCCAAATGACAAAATAACAAGCGATCAACGAACCGAATAATAACGCTATGTCAGAAGTGGAAAACAATAATGATATAATCTTCACCGTTCTTTTTCATGACAAGCAGCTCGTGCGACCCAATTCATTCGGGGCGGTAGAAGGAAACGAGCAAATTGTTGGCAAGCTGCTTCACGAAGTAAAGCCGAAGATGATACACGTGTGTTAATGGGAATTTTTTTGTTATGTCTTTTCCCGATTCATATCAAGCTATGTCCTCATCCGTGTATATTGCAACAAAGCAGGCAAGCAATATATCATTATCCTTCTACCACTCGGATCGAGCTTTGTTACAGAGCGAGTTTGTCATGGTAGTCGTAGCAACCGTTTTGTCTGTATCGTTGGTTGCTTTATGTATTTGGATTCGCTGATCCTAATACATTTTTACGACTGAGCAAACCTGTTATGCTAGGTGTTTCTTCAAAAGAAACATAAGCACATCAAAATACGGCTGATTTCGAGTTGCCGATAATAGAACAGCTGGTTAACACGCAGTTTAAACGGAAAGGTTGCCGAAGTAAAAGAGGCTGCCGACAATAGTCACACTCACCTGAGAAGTTTGGAGCGCCTTAAAAACTGTTTCAAACCGTTTTGGACAGTTTTGTTGATTGGAATGGATAGAATAGCTAGCAGCAGATGAATGTAAACAAACAGACACGTCATATGTGTGCGTGACACTGAGAAAATGCTAATAGAAGTGCGGAAGCTGCTTAGATTGACGAGAATACGTAAATTCCTCTACTATAATATTATGCGAAAGATTTTTGGGAAATCTTTAGTTATCGTATCCCTAGCAACACATTTGTCACTGAACAATTGTGGTTGTTTGGACATTATTCCAGTCATAATCAAGTAGCAGCATAACTTATTGTGATGGGAGTGTGCTGCTTGGGATCGTGTGATAAGTGAGGGAACGTTCAGCGTTTAACCTCTATTCTCTGTTCAAATTAATGTTTGTCTTGAAAAGATCACGAAATGTGCTCTAAATATGCGTTCAACCGAATTAATTCACAAACTTTATTGCTGATCAAATAGGCATCGACTATGGGGGCATAGCTCGTGTGAAACTTTCATTCTTCAAACAATGTTTAAGCACGAGTCTTTTACTATAATTGTTCAAACTTCTCATACACACAGGCAATCAAGCCCATGGTACCGATAAAACAATAAATATTTGAACGTTTGTAGGGATTTCATTACCAAGAGGTTATTATAAAACCGGTTATTCGGTAATAAAATCGTGATACTGGTAAATAACCGGTTTCCAAGTTTAAGCTTTTACCACTGAGAAGTATAAGATAAATTCTATGTATCTTAAATTGATCGTTATCATGAATTGATCATGATCATCAATTTTTTTTAATTGAATCAATAGTAGATTCAATTGCTATTCATTAACTGATCAGCTGTATTCTTCAGAACACATATGGCAGAGCACAAGAAGAAGCATGCATAGAGGTAGAATGACAATAATGAGGTGGACCGCATAGTTATAGATTACCTCTGCTACTTTGCATAGGGTAGGGTGTTATTAGTACTATTTAAAACTCATGTATTTTAAATGCAACTCAACAGTATCTGACAAAAATATATCATATTTTTTTTAACTCTCGCAAAAAATTCAATTAGCTGTTTCTTTTAGGAAAATGTATAATATTTTGCTGAAATTTTGGCTATTAAGGACTGTTCAAGTTATAAGACGGACATCAAAAATTGTCTGTATCCTTTTCATTTTTCTTTGTATCCGTATTGTTTATTCCAGATATGTATAGATTATGATCCAAACAAAAATATGCATTGCTTAAACTAATAATGATAGAACGCATCACTTCAGAATTAACCATCATAGCAAGTATTCCCAAAAAAAAAACGTATCTAAAAAACAAACAAAAAATAGAAGAAAAAAATTCAATATCCGCATTTTTGTTTTCTCGTGAAAACAAATAAAGCTTTGTTTTCATTTTTTTGAATGGGATCCTCTTTATAAACTTACGTAGCCAATAGGTGAATAATCTTATCCCTTACACTTGTCATACAATATAATTAGAACAAAATGTGATAAAAAGTGTGTATACTTAGTTAATAGTCAGAACGAAATTAATTTAATATGGAAACATATATGTGCATATTCAATTCAAATTTAATGAAAACTATCATTGAGTAGCTTAAACTTACGGTATTAGGAAGTATCAACATTTTTGAGATATTATTGTCAATTTCCCAAAGTTGTAAGCGTTGGTGTGTGTAAACTTTTAGAAGAGCTGAAAAAAAATATCTTGCTTGATACATTGCAAAATTTATCCTGCAGTTCAAGTTATATTGACATGATTATAAAAATGCATTTTAGAGCACATAATATTTCAAATTTAGTTAAAATTACATGCTGTTTCAAATTGCTTGAAACTGGCCGAAAAAGCATTCAAATGAAAATGTTGGGACTGAAAGTGTGGGTCCGTTTTATAACTTGAACAGTCCTCAGTACCTCAACTATTCGAGATTTATCGGTATGGTTTTAAGGTTTAGGTGAGTCTGTAAAAAGTTTGAGCAATTTCAATTATACGCTTCCCATTTGACCACCCTTTTTCAAACTGTTATTGCTTGAAGTATAATAAACCGAATTAACTAGAATCATGCATATTTAAAGTATTGATATTGATATTTCAAACGTATTATATTGAACTCAAATTTCTCATGACGGTTACAATAGTTTTATATTTGTTCCCATCCTATGAAATTGAATATTTTTTTTTTTAAATTGATCGCATTTGGATGGAGGACTGCCAAGAAATTGAGGTGACTAGATGGCAGGATTATCAGTGTTCACTCGGCTGTCGACAAAAGCAGACCACTATCGATGAGTGTCACGCGATCGTCTGCTTACTCGGCAGCAACCTTTGTGTGGTCCACCTCATTGCTCTTCATGAGCAGTTCTTTCGGTCGATGCGCTGTCGACTTTGGAAAGTAACCGTTTCGTGATGAGTGTGTGATTGCTGACCACGTTTTGTGACCATTGATGCAATGGAAGCACTCAGCCCCCTCCCCCGGTGAAACTGCCATACAATGCAACTCCAGTTCTGATGGAGGAGGCATTTTGGATAGCGGAAGATAAAGTGTTTATTGTTTTGTACCTTGTGACTATAGTTTTAAGATGTTTTGTTTAGTGAACAATAATCCTTGGCTCTGTAAAGTTAATACGATTGAGCCTTATCACATACATTAATTAAGATGACAGGATTATGTATTTATTCGAAATTAAATAGTATCCAATGGTACTTTTTTGCAAGCGACGGTCAAGTTATTTTTATACGTTTTCGCTTCATACGTTCTTATCGTTATCATTACATTTGTTATTTCAATTTATATACCTGGATAGAATTGTATATGTCATAACAGAGGCATAAAATATAAACAGGTTAACAAATATTATATTAAACCTGTATTTGAGATAAATTCTTTAGGTAATTCTCTGACTTTTACTTTATTGTGCCTATGGAGCTCATCCCATAGAGATCTCACTTAAGTCCATGTATGATAAAAGAATAAGAAGACCGCAACAGGTATCCCGTGATATCACAACTACTTAAAAAGGCACTCCGTGGACGCTTCTTACATTCACACTTAAAAAACGTTTTTTTATAATCAATTGTACCTAATGAAGATAGGTATAATGTCAACATTGTAATTATTCTGCTAAATAAATATTGGGA